TGGAGAAGGAATTGAATGCTTCGAACTGCTTGAAAATTCGAGCTTTTGCCGACACCTATGCGTTTGAAGAGCTTTTACGCTGTGCTAACGAGATTATCCTGCACAATTTCAAGGTTTTTCCTTTGTCGATGCTCACTCAAATTGCGAAAATCATATCCTTCCATCTCCTCAGGACGTTATTGGCACTGACGAGTTTTATCGGCTCCCTGGTAACCAATTAGTTGAGCTGATTTCGAGTGAAGAACTTCAGGTGCCGTCACAAGAACAGGTATTTGCTGAATATTTGTACAGGCTCCTGCTCCCATCCCTGCTGGGGCTCTTTTCTTTGCATACTCATCTATAATCAAGTCCTTTCAGGTTTTTGAGGCAGTTGTTGACTGGGTCAGGTTCGATCTACCGGCTCGGCAGCAATTATTGCCACAGGTGATGACTGTATTCCTTGTCGATGTTCGGCGTCCCATTACACTCTACTTTGCAGTTGCTCGAGCATGTGCGGCTTCAGCTTTGCGACCCTAAATTTCTGGTCAATACTGTCAGTAAGGACCCTTTAGTGAATTCAAATGATGTCTGCCAGGAATCTTGTCGACAAAGCGAAGGTTAGTAGTTGATGCTGCGCTGCAGGGTGCTAAATATTTTTTTCACAACTCGGCTGTTGGTTGCAGGACTACCACATTCTACAACTTTCTACTCACGAACATCTCAACATGCGAGGATCGCGAACTCCGTCACGAAAAGTACTCACTGGTGAAATATTGTACGTTGGTAGGTCGAAGTGCTGCTGTCCTCAATTTTGGCCTAATTTCTGATCAAAAAATAACTCACAGCGTACGCTGAGGAATGAGAAAAGTATGTGTGGGAAGTCCGATAGGAGCTGATGGAGGTTTAACTAAGAAGTTCAAAAAATCGTCACTGCCAGTCGAAGTTTGGCTTTACCCCATTTCAAGCATTTTCTGTTGGTAATGATACTCGTAACACAGAGGGTGACTATCAGGGAGCAGTGAAGGGAACAACTGGGCTTTATGAGGTACGCTTCCTGCTGTATTCAAGTAGGATTCTGTATGGCTGGTGGACTATACGGGAAAAATTTTCTTGTGTTGTTGAGCGACCTCAACATTGTACCAGCTTGAACTCTCTTACTGACCCAAGTTTGTAAAAAACATTGTGCCAAAACTATAGATGACAGAAAATTGAAACCTTCCAAAACCGAGGTATTTAGAGGAGGGAATCAAAATTGATCGCTCACGAAATCCAAATTAGCGCTGATGTTCAATTCTAATATGACACTTCGATCGCTATTACACCTCGATCCATATGAGACACCATTTTCCTACAGTATTTACTCCGAGAAGTGTTCGGCGTCTACCGTGCTTTGAGTCCTCAACGGAGTGGGTCGTATCAGGTGTATTATGAAGGGGGAGTCGTAAGAGCGAATATCACAACGATTAGAGCAGTGGTAGCCCTTCTGAGTTGACTGAGTTGGGGGCAGTCGATTTGATTTTAGCAAAGTGTGATTAATGCTGTCTGAAATGTTGAGTCAAGTGTCTCTTTTTTTTGGCCACCCCTGTATTCACCTCATACGGCTTTTAGTGGGAGGAAGTTGCGATGATGTTGGCATGGCTTCTGTGGAACGTCTCGATCCAGAAGAACCAAATCCTAGTTGGCAGAGCGTTGCGGCCATGAGTGAGAGAAGGCAAGGTCATCACATTAAAGGGCTACTCTAAGCCTCATAAACGTTTTTGCTAGGAAGGGAGTTGGTGTAGCTGTCTTTGACGACCTGCTCTACGCTGTTGGTGGCTACGATGGAAATACGTATCTGAGAAGCATTGAGAGGTATGTCGTGCACCTTTGTGGAAAAAAGAACCATGATAAAGTCCGATTTGCTGATTATTAACATTAACATGGACACACAGTGAATCTTGGATGTAAGGTTTATTGGAATGCTTTAGATTCGATCCCGCTACTGAAGCATGGTCGAGTAACGTAGCCCCATTGTCGCACGGTCGCTCGTTTCACGGGGTGGCCACACTTGACGGTTTCATTTATGCAGTGGGCGGAGACAGTGACGCAGGAGCTCTGAATATTTGTTGAACGGTAGACATTGATCTACGACTGTCGCTTCCCCATATTGGAATGTTCACTGTTGCAGATATGATCCTCGCCGAAATCAGTGGACCAGTGTAGCATCTATGGGTAAAAACGACATATGCATTCTGTCTCTGTGCTCAACGGTTGTTTATATGCCGTTGGAGGTCATGAGAGATTCAGGGTTAAATCATCTGTGGAGAGGTTAGTCGACGTGCAGCAGGACCAACCATCCGTTGTGCGAAGTTCAATGTGGGGATGATTGTATTTGAGCAACGGAAGGGTGGGGGTCGCAAATATAGGGACCAGCGACAGTACACGAAGAAGAAAAAAAGAAGAAAAAAAGAAGAAGAAAAAGAAAAAAAGGAGAACATAAAAGAAGGTACACCAGTGAAGGAGTTACATTCAGTCGCCTGCAACTTATAATTATAGACGAGTGCATGGCGAGTCTGAAAGCCGAATTCTGCAAATCGTTAACATTTCAGCGATCGATAGAAGTGGGCTCGTGGAAATTTCTTTAAATTAGTACGGCCTACGGTGACTCTGTCGAAGGTTATGAATGCTCGATTGATAAGGGAAATTTTTCACACATTTTAGATTTGACCCACGAGTGGGCAGATGGGAATTTCTTCGTCCAATGACATCAAGTCGAGCATATTTGGGAACTGCAGTGTTGGATGGGCACTTGTATGCAGCAGGAGGATATGATGGATTAGATTATTTGAGTTCAGTTGAAAAATACGACCCCCTTACCAACGAGTGGACCTGCAGTGGCTGACATGAACGAGAAACGATTGGGTGTGAGTCCGCTCGAATTTCCATATGCATGCATTCTGATATGTCCAAAAAGCCGAAAAAAGAACGCGTCTTTCAAAGGTAGCGCTGGCCGTTGTCAATGGAAGGCTATACGAGGTTGGTGGAGGAGACGGTCGTGACCTGGACACCGTTGAAGTTTTTGATCCGGAGGCAAATCAATGGATAATTCATAGCCGCATGAAAGAGCGGTTAGTTGCCTTTTGTGATGGAATTATTTGAACTTTCATTCTAACTGAGTTTCTTCTGAGTGTTCACTAACAATCGAGACATTTCTAGACGATCCAATGCTGGTGTGGGCGTTCTTCGGACGAGGTAGCAGTTCCATCAGCAGTGATTGGGATACGATTAAGGAGCTGAGCACACTTCTTCTGCCCTTCACTCCGTGTTAATTTTGGATAATCATTGAAAAGTGCAAAGCTAATTGATGGGCCAGCTTGATTTCGTGGGTCATAAAGTGAGGTGATGATAATTTTTGGGCTAAACCTTAAGACGAATGGAACTCCGCGGGTGTAAGCTGATTTATCCCGAAGATCCCTCCGCCTCCTAGACTTAGTGCTTTCCATGACCCATAAGACCAAGGTGTCCCACATAACCATTGTAGAATTGTAGTTTAGTTGCTGAAGACACTTGAAGGAATTTCTTCGAATGTATTACCATATAACCTCTACTATGCCTATAACCATAAACTGCAACTGAATACGTGCATGATTCCACCAATGCACCATTGTATGTTCATGTTTTTTTTATCAAAATTCTATTAAGTATCTCTTATGGTGTTTTGGTATACAATATCTCGGAATTTTCTGAAAGTAAATCTTTAGAATTAAGTGAGCAGAAGAAGCTATTAAATATGTTCGACTCACCCCTCAGGAATGAGCCATGTTTTTGTTCTTATACGAAACATGCGAAATTCAATGTCGATACTACACACCGACAACTACTACTCACTACCACTCTGGGGATCTCGAAAGAGCGGTCTTCATCGAATTTCTGACTGGGATGGTAGCCACAACCTTGCCTTGTGATAAGGGAAGGCGACTTTGTCATGAGTCCGCTGGACCTGGTGCAGGGCCTCAAGCAAACAGACCATTTCCAACGTCATGTGAGAGGCAAGGCTGCCAAGTCAACCCACTGCTTCACGAACAGCAGGAAAAAACGCCCTGGTGATCTGCAGGCCTGCAGAAAACATACATTTCACAAAATTGTAATTTTTTTCGGCATCAGTTCTAATCAAGGAAGACGTTGGTGTATGAAACAAGTGGTGTTTCACTACATATTACCCGTCTATCGCACCAGGGCCCGTATGCAACAAGCCAAGAAGTTCGTTAGGGATATTCCCGTTTCGGGGCTTCTTGCATACGACCTTCGGGGATATGTCTCCGACGAACTTCGGCTTTGTTGCACACGACGCCAGACTAATGTTTGAGCTCCATGCAGTGACCGGGGAAGGACATTGCCTGAGATAAAGACATTGCATGGAGGTGACGGATAACTTGCTGATTTGCCGTGCATTCCTGCTTCCATCCAGAAATACAGAGACATATGGATGCGGATCGGATCTGCACAACATTGTTGCCATTGTTGGGCCAGCTGGCATTCAGCTCAGTTTCTGTGTTAAATTGGAATACTCTATGAACAAAGGACGAGGTTACCCACGTTATCTCCTGCCATCATCTCTACCATGTTCGCATACTGTTTTAGACTCAACAACTTTGGTGTCGCTGATGCAATTTGTTCTTTAATGCCAAGATGGATTTGTTGAAGAGAATTTGCCTATACTCCCGCCTTCGCGTGACCACTCTACGGCTTGTATTTGGCTTAATAAACTCAATAACATGATTCTACAGTCACCAAACAGCCGCATCAGTCGTATGTAGGTTGGTACTGATCGATTTGTGTCGCTGCACTTGGTCCACTGAAAAGGGAGTTGTCCTGAGCGAAATGGCCACGGACGGATCGGGCGGCAGTGTCCTCATTGATGACGGTCTGGGAGAGAGGCTTCGCTAGATAGGTAACCCAGCCTATCGCATTTTCTTTTTGGTGTTCTGGTGGGACGCATTTTCTTGAGAACGTTGACCAGCGGCAAGGAAATGACGAGCACGTCGAGTGATGAAGTTCAAAGGCGGAGTTTACACCCTGGAGCGAGCGGCGTGGATACGCCCTCATTAGGCTTCTGAGGGCATACCCCTCACTGTAAAACGCGCGTGGTCCTCCACAGAGGGTCCGTCTTCCTTTCGACTGGGTATCCATTTGGCTAGTCAATTTCATCGACTTTCGACCCTATTGTGGAATGCATTGTGAATTTTGCTGTATCAAAGTTGTAGACAGGCTTCATAGCGCAACACCACTACAATCAGAATGGCTGCTTTTCGCAAGCTAGTGCAAATGGAAATAAACATTCAAATGCCTGCTACTCTTGAGCAGTGCACGGCGTATCTCAGAGAAATTATCTTCAGGGACATGCGTTCGAAGCATAATTTGACGCGAGCAGAAAAAAAGTGAAGAAGAAGGAAATCTTACTGTTACTATGACCAAGGAAGAGAAAAGAGTAAGCGGAAATAGAAAGGTTGAATTCTCAATGTTCGAAAGAAATCTTTCCTAGAAAAGAACATTTTCAAGCCCCTGATTTTCAGCATCAGTTCTTGATATCAAGCGCAAATCTTGGGTTTCCAGAAAACTTACAAATTTCCAAAATAAAAAAAATTTGATGGATTTTATGGTCATTTTGAATTGAAAACTCTCTTGCACCTTTGAAAAAGAGGTGCACGAAAATCGTGGAAAAATTTATCAATGGTACGGGTAATCGAAGCGAAGGCTTTTCGCGACTTTGAATCTTCAATATCTTTTTCAGTGCCGTGGAAGGTCTGTTTGTAATAAAGTTAGGACAATTTGAAGGATCGATTGTGAATAGCAGTAGTTTGCCCACAAAATTTTTCCTTCATCTCGCAGCACGAGGAGTTATCGAAACCAGGCCAATTTCAGTGATTATGGGATTAAAGCAGGTGTCAGAGTCCGCGATCCGTCGCAGATTTTCGCGATTTTCGCGATTTCGCGATTTTCGCGATTTGCGCGATTCACGCGACGGGTCACGGAAATCACAAGTGCCCGATCAATACTGCAAGGTGTTCTCCAATCCCGCCGCCACTTCTGCTTGATAGTGATGGCTGAATGACGACTGCTCATGATTCCACTTGTTTCATATTCAGTGTTTCAAATGTTCAAATGGGGCACTTGCAATTTTTGCGATCCGTCGCAGGTTTCGCGAAAATCAGCGAAACCTGCGACGGATCGCGGACTCTGACACCAGCCTTGGGGGGGGGGAGTCGCAGGGAGAACCATCTCCAGTGGGAAGAGTTACTACCGCAACCTAGAATTTACCAGTGCCACGGCTGATCCTGTTCGGCATCACTGAGTGATAATTTAATCCCACAATTATCATTAAAGGCAGCGATTACGATAAAGAGGGAGCGCATCGGGGAAGCATATGCACCACACGAATCAGTTACTTGGCTGCCAGGGAAGCGAGGTGTAGCGCTTTCACGACGAAGGTGCGCTGGTTGCTGAGCAGGACTTCGAAAGCACTCCGCCCCCAAAAGCGATCCGCCCACTAGTTTAGTTGGTGATTTGGACGAGCTGCGTTGCCAGCAGCGGCACAACTGGAGCACTCGATTAGTTTGGCATGGTGCCACCAAACGCGTTGCGTGAACTCGTTCATACGTCCGCTTTCTGAGCTGTTACCTGTTCATGAGTGAAAACCAACGGCCAAAAGGGGTCCCGTTTTGCGTTTTCTTGACGGATTTCTCCGCTTTTTTGCCACTGGCGTACCGTTGAGCACCATCAGGCCACAAAAACGCCTGACCGCATCCTGCAAAGCCCACTAAATGCTCATACAGGAGCTGACCTGGGAGAATCTTCCTCATCCACCTCATTCTTGAGACTACGACTGCTATCCTTCCCTGATTGTCCAATACGCCTCATGGGGGTTTTTTTTTGAAAAAATTGTAGTTGAGCACACTCGATGTTTACCTCCATTATCCGAATCTTCTT